CCATCATCTCCTCTGGACTTAAACTTGCAGAGCGCGCTATTCGCACCCGCTTGCAATCTGGTATTATTGTTCCCAATGTCCCCCTCCAGTTTGAGTACAGACCAAATACATGCACTTTGGATGTCGTCTCTTCAATGATGCACTTTATTTGCAAATCCTTAGATAGTTCTCAAAAGTCGGTTCGTTGCGTTTTCCTTCACTATCCTCGGCTTTCGATTCCGTTCCACGATCTCTTCTCCTGCAAAAGTTAGAGTCATTCAGTTGCCCCACCAACTTTTTGTAATGATTGAAAGATTATTTCACAGGAAGAACTCAAAGGACGAAAGCAAATGGCACTAATTCACCAAACCGTTAGTGAATAATTCTGAAGTCCTTCAAGGTGCTGTGCTCTCCCCCTACCTATTTTAAACTTTCATAAGTGACTTACCCTCAATCCCACCAGCCAAGACCTTCAAGTATACCAATGATGTGGTCGTATGTCAAGCTACCTCAAACCAATCGGAATTAGAATCATTTTCGGACAATTTGTTGTAAGTGCAATCATTTTCGAACCAATCCGGTTTCCGGATGAATACTTTTTAATGCTTTGAATGTATTTTTAGTCTTTCCGATCTGAATACCCCTTGGAACCCCGTCATCAATTCCTCGCCCATCACCAGAACACATACCACGAAATACCTAGGAGTTACTATAGATAGCAAGCTACGATGGTCCTCTCATGTGCTAGCCTGTGTTGGTAGACTGCGTCGCTCATCTTTTCAAATAAGCAAGCTACGGCAATTTCGCGTCAGGCCTGAAACTGTATGTTCCTTTGTTTATCAATGCATTTTTCCTAGCATACTTTATTGTTCGCCCGTTACTTTCCCTGATCTATTTAGAAAAGACTTCATTACTCTACGTCGCGGTTTAGTAATTATCAGCGGTGTTTCTCTTATTCCTGTAAACACTCTGATCACAAAATTGTGTAATTTGCATATCACTTCAGGTGAGAATTTCGCTCATAGGATACTCAATGACCCCAGTCATTTACTTAATTCTGATTTATCTGCTTGCCGTTCTCACGCTTCAACCCGATCCAATTTTCGCTGCTTACCCTCCCGCATAAACATTTATCGCAACTCAACAGTTCCCTATCTGACTCGTATTCTCAGTGACACGGTGAGGATCCCTAACGAACTAATTTTAAACCTACAAAGATGAACACCTATCTAAGTTTTATCATTGTGGTATCTGAATTTTCATTTCATTTTTTTATCCCATTGTAACGGTGAACACACTTTTGACTAAAATGTGGGCACCATTGCCTGCATAAGTCATCTATAATACAATAATACAATATAATAGGGTTGTGGTTTGAGCCCAAAAGACAACCTTGGTGTTTCATGTTTCAATATGAGATTGCCTGATATGAGGCGATTGAAAATGTTCGACTGTTGGTGTCCAGATGGACCATTCAAGTATAGTGACCAGAACCAAGACTTGTGTTGTCCGTAGCGCCAGTTGTACACTTGGTCTCGGTAACTGTAATCTGCAAGCACCTGGCTATCGAGTGCCGCTCGCACAGGAGGCGGCCATCAGTGCCACCCCGGATATCGAGGTAATCCGTCGGGAGATAGTTTCACAAAACTGTTGAAATCATTATAGTAAAGAAAAACCATTTTGACCACCTAAAATACAAACGGATCAAAACATATGGGAAGTCGTTCATCAACTGAATGTTTCCCAAAAATTTATAAAGCCTTGATGAACAAAAAAGCCAAGCAATCTTAAATTCATTCATGTGTCCAACCACTAATTACAGAGAGAGGATGGGTGATCCAGCAATCGAGGTTACCAAAATATTGCTCCGGAGGACGTGTTCGAATCCCCCCCCCCCATTATCACCACATCCACCAACAACTTCAGATAATTGATGCATGGACAGACGTTGTACATAGAGTCATCATCCATCCAAGTTTCTCGAAGTTCCAACGGTTGCACAGTCAATCGGTATACGACTACGTTGGGAACCTCGACCAGTAGTGGTTGGAGGCCGAACGACAGATCTGATCTGTGGTTGGAAACACGAAGAGGCATAATCAAACGATGAGTGTAATGCTTACTTCATTCTCTGGATTTATTTATTTATTTGCACGGCAAATGCCACTGCGTTCTTCAGTCGCCACCTAATCATTTCGCCTCAAATTCGCATAAAAAGAATGAAGTGAATTGCTTGTGAAAACTTGGTACCGGTTCATGGAACCACAACCACATTGTCCTTTTCGAACACTATACACGGCAGACAGGACAAGAAGATGAGCACCGTTCTAAAGGCTCAATGTTTAGAAGGAATAGATAAAGTAAACAAAAGGGTCAATATTACAATCAACTCACAAAGTATCGCCCGATTTTGAAATCGAAGAATGTCAACGAACCATTGATGCCACCCACGCAGACTTTTTGCATTCTGGTGTGGCTAGAGAAAGCACTGAACCTGTGGGTAGAACGTAGTCAGCGAAGAGGGGAAAAGAGATACAACTGAATCAACTCGGCGGTTAGGGAGAGAACTATTTATCTCTGCGTGCTTTGTGGTACTACTATTACTACTACTACTAATAATAATACTAGTGTTATAATTCCACAAAGCGGTGCCTGGATGAGGATAGTCGTTTACTGCGGAATACAGTTAGGATATTGATAATTTGGCTTACATATAACAAGATATCTTATTTGAGACCTATCTTCACAACCCCCAGCAGCACACAGGGTAATGAATGGAATACACCGTGGTTATTATTTGGAGCACAGCAATTCGCTCTAAGTGGTCCTGTTCATTTTGGACCGTTGAAAGGAACCGCCAACCACATTATTTTGCATACTACTCACACATGTGAATAGTATCTCACAACACTGTCACTGTTACTGCTGTTATCACCACTTCCAAACATCTGTTCGGACCGGGGGGTTCACCTCAACCACTTACTGTCTCAAGGCAGGAAACACAAAATCCAAACCACGTTCCTTCAACCGCGTCCGATCCAGACAGGCAAGGACAACTTCCACAATCTCCGGCAACACGGAGACCACATCGGTAGCACGACGTACGCACAACTGTTCGAACAAACGTACTAGTTCATCCCGAGCGGCAAACATCGGTGGCCACGGTCCCGTAACAGCGGCTACAAAACAGTTTGCAAGAGAATACAAACAAGTTGCGCGGTCAAAGTTCCAGCACTGACAAAATAGAGGAAACTTGGGAAATGACAGTAAGTTCAAATGCGACGTGGAACGAATACCTGGTCAAGTGCATGTTGGACCAAAAAAGAACAGCGGCCAGAGTTTTATTTGGTACACAGAAAAGATTAATTATATAGTGATAAAGACCAACTTAACAATTAGATATACTCGACAAAGCACACCGTTGATTGAGAAATGAGCAGTCCACTCCCCCCGGAACAACCGAGGCCTAGCTAGATTCAAGATTACAATTCATCAAAAGTAGAACGAAATAGAGTGAGAGAATGTGGTTTCCACGAATGATATCCCCGTTTAGCCTTTCTACACATTTGTAAACTAGAATCACGCGAAACAACAGGGAGGATCTTTGTTGATATGTGCAAGAAGCAAGCTTTGGATACGGGCATCATTTCCGACTGGCAGATCGGACAATTGGGATGTGAAGGGACGGCGAGCTCGTGGAAAACAATGAACAAATTAAGATCTACCTGGGGGAGGGGACCGAATACAAACAAATGTTATTCTAATTTAAGTACTGACCGGTCCTCTGTGTGACAAACAAAAGTCTACAATGAAGGAGGGAATCATTTTAGAACCCCATTGTTCTTAACACTGTGAACGAATCATTCCTGACCTCTGACCGACTTCGAACATGTAACAATTCAACAATGGCAAACGTATGTACTCTTGTACGTGTGACTTAATGTTTCTGTCGGATCATTATTCTAAGAGGTGGGCGATAATCGTGAAGACTGACGGATTGCGTGGGGATTGGTCGCCTACTTGACTCGAGGGAATCAGAAACCATTATCCGCATAGAATCGTAAAAAAAGCGGAAAGAATTCCAGTTGTAGTGAGTGATTCGCATCTTACCGGGGTGTTTCGCATTGAGACTCGGCGTCGGGAGTGGTGGAGCGAACACGGGAGCCGCAACAGCTGGTGATGCCATCATGACCATCATGCGTGGATTGGTAGGCATCGAACCGGACGAGGTCAGAGCAGATGAGTCACGGCGCATCAGGAGCGAATTCATGGTCGGATCAGACAAGTTTGGAACTGCTTGGGGATCAGGCATAGTAGTAAGGTTGGTCAATGAATTTACCGGCCCCGGAGATTGTGGTGTGGTGACGGCACTTGCGGCAGCATTGATCTGTGTCCCGTAGCGCCTAACTTCCAATGACAGGACGAGAATGACCGATTTCGGGCGGGCGAATGCTATCGCCCACAAAGCCTCGCGGGCGGTTCGGGCCAGGTCTGTTCGTTCCGGAATCGGTTGCCATGGCGCTAAACTATTGGTAAACAGGGGAAGGAATGCACAATCGATTACACGATTCCCTGATCACGAACCAGACGCTTGTGAGTGCCAAACACATCACAGTATTGTAACATTATACCGTGAAAAATCCCAAAACAGATACATATGGATGGGTACTTTCTAAAGAGAAGACAGATGAAATTTCATAAACATAGAAGACACGCACATACTTTCGTTAATATGCTGAATTCGGATTGAGTGAGTGATTGCAGTTACATGTAAACCCCAAAAAGCTCCTATATATAAATTTCATTTCATAGTATGTGAATGACTGGATAAAATTGCCCTAGAAACATACGACCGATTTCGCGGTCCTTGCCGCTCGTCAGGCATGCGTATGCGGTAATCTTTTGTCTTTTCATATATATATATAT